TCATTAGCACCTCTAGTAATATATTTACTGAGAAAAATGGTGACGTGTTCAATACTTATTTTACCTGCTGTATATTCTAAAAATCTGATGTCATAAAATGGTGAAATGATAAATGGAAAAAAAAACACATTTAACCTCAACAGGTTTGTTCTCTTTTCAATAATTCATTCATGTTTTATATACAGAGTCTCTGTGTGTGTTTAGTAAACCAAGTTTCATCTAAACACACACACACACACCTAATGGAGGTCATGCCACATGATGCTATTTTCTGTGACGTCGTTTCATAAAAATGTCTGCGTCGCCGTCACTCAGCTGTTTACGTAAACATGAAAACATCCTCCAGCGACACACACACACACACACACACACACGCACACACACACACACACACACACACACACAATGGAGAGCTCCATACAAGGATGGGTGAAGGAATCTGCGAGGATGTGAGGGGGGAGGAGGAGGGGGCGAGGAGTAGAGTCATAACATCATAAATCAGATCAAACGATTAAAGAGGGACGAGGAAGATGCTGTCTCTTTTTCCATCATTTCATTTGATGATTTGATGAACTGCTCATCTCAGATCAGAAGAGAAAAGAGCATTAAAGTAGCACAACGAGCTGCTACATGTGAATCAAAGAACAAAGCAAAGGAACATGCGCGGTCGTTACCCATGTATTAAATTGTTACAATGTAATAAACATAATGTCTCTTTTTTTTCATTCCTGAGACTGTTGTTACGTTACTGTTCATCTCTCCTGATGTCTCCTGATGAACGTTGTTTGCAGCTCAAAATGCCTCTGAATCTTTGATTTTATTTTTGATTTTATTTTTTTATATGAGTGTTGGGAAAATAAACAAAGGTTATAAAAGTGGGCAGAATGGTGCGGCTCAACACTTGCTGTCTCATCAGAAGCCAAACCTCTGAGCACACCTCAAAGACAGTAATGTGCACATGGACTGTGTGTGGGCTTTGTCTTCTGATTGGTCCATTAAAACAGTAAAACAGACGTCAGCACATTCGGAGATGGCAAAGTCCCCCATTGGACAGAGCTATAAAAAGTATTTGGCCACTTACAGATTTCTTCTGGTTTTGATTTTTTGTCACACTTACACGTTTCAGATCAGGAAACCAATGTTAATATTAACAAAGATGACCCAAGTAATTAAAAAAATTCATTTTTTAAATGATGGTTTTATTTATGAAGAGCAAAACTGATATCCAACCCAACCTGGCCTACAGTGAGGAATTAATTACATCCTAGAGCTTGAAACAGTTTGTGCCACAAATGGCAGAAACAGCTCATGAATCTTTCTTATGGCTGTGGATGAATGCTGTTGTTGTGCTTCAAATCATCATCATCCTGCTGCAGAACTTGAGTCCTCCTGAGCTAAAGGATTTTTTTTAATTTACTAGGTAGCAGAATTTATTAATCCAGGTCATGAAGCAGTAGAGCAGCCTGAGACCACCACACTACCATCACCATGTTTGATTGTTGCTATTGCTTTTGTGAAGGGCAGTGTTAGATTTCCACCGGAGCGACGCAGCTTCCAAAAAGTTCCACTTTTTTTTCATCAGTCTGCAGAATATTTGACCGCAGTTTTGGGATCATCAGGATATTTTTTGGTAAGGGTGGTTTTTCTGGTCTTTTCTCAGCAGTGGGTTTGAAGCTGGAACTCATTTATGGATGTTGTTTTTGCTCTTAATCTCTGTTCTGCAGCTGAATAATGAGCTCTGACATCAACACAAAAGTCCCATTTAAAGTTTTGTGAAGACCCTCCACCCCATGGATAATCCAGGTCCAGTAGCCACAACTGATGCAGTGTTTTCAGTTAAATGTCTCCGTGTTGCTCGGTCAAGAGACATGAAATTTGTTGTTTTTAAATCTTTCTTTTTTAATTATTGGGATTTTTTTCTACCTCTAATTGTGCATCTGTTGCTGGTGTTCTGCTTTTTGTGAAGCCAACAGGAGAAAGTCCTTCTGAGTCATGGAGCGTTTGATTCTTCTGTCTTTTTGTACTAAACTTTTACTTGTGCAACATGCAGGTGTGTTTTTGCTCTTTCCATCCAAACTATTCTGTCAGATGAGACAAGAGACTGGACTATGCAGTGAGGTCAAGCCGTAAGAATGCTGTGCTTTCTGGGTAAGTTGAACACAGCTATGGGTTATTTTTATTGCAGCTCTCAAATGTAAAATCTCCACTTAGTTGTTAAAATCAAAAGTACAAGGACAGACATTAAAAGATGAAAAGATTCCTAGGAAGACCATATTATTATCTGATATGATAAATGTGGATTTATAAGTTGAATACAGTATATAATGTATTTCAATGTGGTTGATTTTCCCCTGAGGTACACTAGAGGGCAATAAAATCACCATGATGTTACAGGAGCATTTTAAAATATGACAAAATAGAAAAAAAAAGTATTTTTAGATTTTCTCTGAAAATAAATTGTTCAGTCACTGCACTAAAAAGCAATCATGAATAAAAACACTGCCAGAAATAAATATGTGGCTGATTTGAATCTCTAAAAGACAATCAAGAGTTAACTGAAGCAAGTTAACTGCTCTTTTGGGTTCTTTCGGGATCTTCTCGGGCTCCTGGGAATAAATTTGGTCGGAAAGTTCATCAGCATTCCATGTTTTCTCTTTTTGTGGATAATGACTCTACTTAAAGATAAAATGAAAATAAATATAAAAAATAATGTTTTCATCTTTTTTTTTTGTTAAAACCTTTCAATAGACGTCCCAGCAGCATTTTCTCTGATTCAAAATGCTAATGACTTCTTTTTAGTGTCTTTGTTTTAAAGTCAGCACGTGGGGTGATAATGGGGGAAGAGTTTTTCTTGGTCAGTCCTTGATGACGTCACAACCGTCTGTGATAGAACACTGTGCGGCAAGGAACGAGGTTTCGGTTGAATTGTTTATCAGTAAAAATGGAAGCAGAGAACTTGATCGAGTTAAAAAAAAGGCTGAAACATGTTGTAGGTCTAATGGATGTTCAACCATACCAGTATGAACCTGAACCCAAAGCTGGTTCTCCAAATTCAAATGAAGACTGTCAGATGTGGGTTTGGATGGCCCTGAAGCCCACTATGACTGACCATATGACAAGATCTTTGTTCTCATGGCAGTAAGGTTAGTTTTAATCAGATATTCAATGTTTATGTTCACTCCTTGGACAACATGAACTCTGAGGTGTCATCCTGTTTGTTGACCCGGTTTGACTCTGTGTACGCTGTCAAAGTTAAGTTTTATTCTTTTAAAATTAGTGTGAATTCATTAAAAATCAACACTCCAAGTAAAAGCACTGTTTATGCCTTTCTATTGATTCATGTATATTCACATGCAAGCCCTTTTAATTTGACCTTTAAGCGATTCTGGATTCTACAGGTCTGGCAGTGTTCAGGCCTGGGTGTGGCAGGAAAACGAGACTCAGCCTTTAAATAGAAAACATAAAAAAGAGAGTTATTTAATAATAAGGAATAAGGATTTAAGAAAGCCGTACTTTTTTATTTTTATTTTTTGGTTTGTATTTACTCTTTGATATTATTATTTTTTTGTTTGATTGATCTGAAACATTTAAGTGTGACAAAAAAGCAAAAGATAGAAGAAATCTGAGGGAGCAGATATTTTCCACAGTGTTGTACAAGCATGCTAATGCTTAGCATGTTGTCATTTTAAAGATGCTAACTGAAAAGGTTTGATTGTGTGTGTGAAATGAGAAACGGTAGCTAACGAAGTGACATGGAAATGTGTGGGTTGTGGGTTTGAGGGAAGGGGTGCACAGAAGGAAAGCACAAGGCTCGTTCGGAGTCCTGATGTACAGCATTGTAATTATTTCAACAGAGTTCTACAGAATGGATTTTAGCCTATAAATATCTTTCTTACTGTGCTTGGGGATAGCCGTTCTCATTATTATGAATATGAACATGATTATTCTGATTCTGATCCTCCCTCCCATCCCCACTCCCTCCCAGTGTCCCATCAGGGTACTGGACTCCAAGTGTTCTGTATCTCAATGTAACAATGTGCGTTTTGATATCACCACCATGTCACTCATTAAAAACCCTGACCTCCAACCACTAAGCTACCCTCCCCACTTCCCTTTTTATTTCACCAGGGTCACCTCTTTGTTAATGTACAGTTTTCAGAGCACAAAATGAATGTGTCTTATTTCTAATAAAAGCATATCTATATAATAAAACTGTTGGTTTCTTCATGTTTGAGTCCACCGTGTGATGAGTGATGTTGCTGTGCACGTAACCTCACGTCAGACAGGTACACGTTTAATTATCTCCTGCCACCAAAAGGCAAATGTCTGAGTGGAAATCTCTTACAACAGGATGAATTTTAATTAACCTCTCTTAAAGCACTCATTGGATTTACATCTGGATCTGGAGTCAATCTGATTCAAAATGGCTGCCACAGTTAATAAGCATTTAAAAATTGACTTTATTTCAGTTTTTCCTATATTGAGCTAAAATTTGGCATTCTTTTAGCTAAGTCAATTACAACACACGATCAACATAGTTACTGTGTACATCTAATCTTTATCATTAACTGCTTGAGTCAGCTCTTTTTGTCTGTTAGCAAAATATCTGTCTCATGTTTCATTGGATGGATCCCATTAAAAGCTCTCAAAGTATTCATTGGATGTTCATCTATGTTACTGTTTTGGTCAGTGCATATAAAGTTGGCTGTCAGGTTTGTGGAGTTTGGAACCCAAAATGCAGACAAAATACTTAAAAGCGAGAAGATCAAAAAGAAAAAAACTGATTTATTTACTAAACTTAAGTGCTGTTGTGGCGGCAGCAAATACTTACAAATTAAAAAAAACTCTTGGAAAAGCATGAGGGAACAAACCAGACTGACTAAGGGAAGCACAATGCACAAACAAGAGACTAATAGAAAGACAGAATACAAAGGGAGACCAATGAGGAACAATAACACACACCTGGGGATAGACAACAAGGATC